TCCCAAAATTTTGACGAATGAAATCTCATATTTTTAGTTGCAAACTAAAATTGCAAATTTTAATTAAAAAAATTTCACATAATTGATTTCCATATTTTGCAAGAAGCGAATGATGCACAAAGCTTTAGTTCGCATTTTGCAGGAAGCGAATGAAAATACTAAAATTAGATCGTCGTAATCTATCTCATCTATCGAATAAGAGGACATCTGATGTTACTTTCTAATGAAACGCTGAAATATAATTCGCAGAAGAGATTATCGAAGTTTAAAATTATTTGGTGAGAAAATTAAGAGAGCAAAAACGCTTATTATTTAAAGACAAAATATTGTAATCTATGACGATTTGGATATGTAAACCTAAGTCGATTTGAACTCAAACGTTTTTACACATGTATTATTAATACTAGATGAGAGAATCTTATTCCAAACAGAGAATCAGTTATTTTTGCGAAGCTGCTATATCAATTTCACTTAGGTTATGAAAATTACATTCCCAAATACCACTAATAATCAATTCAAAGTAGTATAATTTGATCTCTACACTATCATAATGCAGTTTAGTCTCAAGAAATGAAAGAAGTATTTGAAAACAGTTTCTTCTGAAATAAATCAAGTTTGAACCTCAAAATTTTCCAACCATATCTTTTCTTGCCAAGCAACAATCCCCAAATAAAACACCACTGAAACAACAATGTAGACAAAACATCAAAACAAACAAACACAAAAGAATTTCACATCAGTTTTCGTAAACCTTATATAAACGACACATTATCAAAACCATAAAGAGTTGGTAAGAGATAAATAGAGTAGCTTTATCATGAAATCAAAATCAATGGTAACTAAAGTTCTCCAATTTCAACAAACAGGCTAGCAATCAACTTCCTATAAGCATATCAATGTAAATTTAAGGATAAGGGAACCAAAAAAACTCACAAGCAAGATTTAACTTCCTATAAGCATTACGTTAATTAGATGCCACATAAACTCAACCATCTTACACAACCAAGTGAGATGCATACCTCCACTAAAGTAAGTATTCTTGATCAATTTGGTAGCATCTGTAGATTACAATAGCGAGAGAAATATCATGTCAGAACTACTCTGATATGAGTTACAAATTTAAAGAGAATATTTATGTACTATTCTCACATTTCATGGCAAATACAAAGATCGAAATTGCAACTACCAACCTGCTGAGCAGCAACACTATTATTGACACTTCCTAGATCAGGAACTGCGAAAGCAAAAATGGTGTCTCTTAGCCGTCGGACAGAGTCTCGAGGTAGAATGAAGATTAGCTTTTCCATTAAATGCATTTAATATTTAGAGGTGATATACGTTGGTTTTCTTCAATACTTAACATCGATTTGTGATCTGAACTGTTTCTTAGGATGATACAACACTTGTGGCCTTTCTTTCTTGTCTCTTTGCCTCAAGCACCTGTTTGAATCTACAACTCCAAGACCAGTTTCAGATTTTCAGTTATCTAATTGCGTGAAAAGGGAATGTACTACTTTTGGTACCACTACTCAATGTGTTAAAACATCGAAGATAGACTCACTTTAATAGTATCATAATGGTTCTAGCCAACCTCAAGATGATAGACGACCCAATAAGCAAAAACTTGTGGCCACTCTGAAGTCTCAAAACCCTAATTACCAAATTAACTGATCATTAACAGAACTGAACATTAACTATTAGTAAATGATAAACACAAAAGCCAAACAAGAATCACTTGAGAGCATCAAGTATAAACCAAACAAGACCCTTGAGAGTATCAAGTATAACCATCCTCTTAACCTTGTCATATGGAGCTGAGACTCCCTCATAGATCTTCAAGCGAGCAAGCGCAGCAGCACCACGTTTGGTCTTGTGAGGAATCCTGAGACCAAAAACAACTCTCAATTTATACAAAACTCTACGGCTGCTACATTTATGTTTCTCAGACAAGCAAACATGTAACTCAATTGAACAATTGGATTTGCTAATTCTCTTAGGAACATAGAGAATACATATTTGCATTCTCAAACCATTGTTTAAGGGGTTGAACATAACAACTGGTGCCTTCCAGCCAATCCAAAAGAGATTATCAAAAAAAATCATAATGATTAGAATGCAAAACATCAATTTGACGACATTAGAGAAAACTTGATCTCCGTATGAATGTTACATTTCTCTTACTCGCACAAGCAAACATGAAACAAAATTATACAATTATTGTTTTCCCAATAATTGAATCTCTGGTGTTTCACCCTTCGTCTTGTATTCCCCTAGGCTGGAATAGCAGGTATAGAGAGGCAACGCGAAACGTTTTTTTTTTGTTAAAGAATATTTAGGGTATTTTGGAAAATCCAAACTCAACAGCTTGAAACCCCTCAATGATGTCGGAAGAGATCGCATAGAACAAAATCGATACCTAGTTGAGAGAGGGAAGATGAGAATACCTTCGATGTTTCCAGCATACAAGCCACGAATCCCTTCAACACGGAACGAAAGAGAGAGGACCCAACTCGTTTTTTATCTTAATCGAACCATCTAAAGGGAGAGGATTATCTAATTTCCCACGCTAAAGCAGAAGAGAAAAACGCTTGGAAGATTTCTGGTGTCTGAGGATAAATAACAATTGCTCGACCCTTTGATTTCCTGTGGAAAAGTGTTTTGCCTTTTTTTTTAGGGTTTTTTTAAAAACCTTATTGTTAAGGGACATGTGTCAATAAAATAGGAGGTCGCGTGTCACTCTCTGGAGAGTGCTGGCCTCTTATTATATTATAGATTGAACAACAATCTTG